GGCTGGAGCGCAGGCTTACCAGGGAGGAGAGGGCAGAGAGCATTCTCTGCAGAAAGACGTTTGGGAGGGTGGCAGTGTTTTCCAGGAAAAGAGGGAGGTTTTATGTGGCTCGACATGGGTGTTTGGGGGGAAGGTCCTTGTGTAGCCGCCACTGCTGGGGATGGACTTCAGTCTCCATCCCAGCCCTGGCTCTCCCTGAGCTGCTTCCTCACAGAACCGAAATGTGGTGGTGGCCGGACCTCACAGGCCTCAGACCCGACTTGGCCAACACCGAATGCGTTACAGCCGCATGTGGGATGCCTCAGCAGTGTCCCTCACCCTGGTCTGTCTTACCCACCTGTGGCCATTTCCTAGGCCTGCCAGGCTTACCTGTTTGCTGGTTTTCAGGAGTGTGAGTTGGGTGTGCGTCAGCATCTCTGTTTGTAGAGAGTCTGAGTGGAAAAGAGAAGCTTTGGGGCGCCTGGGTGGCTCAGTTGGTTAAGCGACTGCCTTCGGCTCAGGTCATGATCCTGGAGTCCTGGGATCGAGTCCCACATCGGGCTCCCTGCTCAGCGGGGAGTCTGCTTCTCCCTCTGACCCTCTTCCCTCTCGTGCTATCTCTCATTCTTTCTCTCTCAAATAAATAAACAAAATCAAAAAAAAAAAAAAGTTTGCTTTAGTCTTACTCCCTTGACTTGTTTTTAGCCTCAACATTAACTTCAGGTTGAAATTCAAATAACATTAAGTGACGGCCCTTTTACGAAGATGGCACCGAAGGCTAGGAAGGAAGCCCCTGCCCCTCCCAAAGCCGAAGCCAGAACAAAGGCTTTGAAGGCCAAGAAAGCGGTGCTGAAAGGCGTCCACAGTCTCAAAAAAAAGAAAATCCTCACATCACCTACATTCCGACGACCCAAGACACTGCGTCTGCGGAGGCAGCCCAAATATCCTTGAAAGAGCGCCCCCAGGAGAAACAAGCTTGATCACTATGCCATCATCAAGTTTCCCCTGACTACTGAGTCAGCCATGAAGAAAATAGAAGACAACAACACACTTGTGTTCATTGTGGATGTCAAGGTCAGTAAGCACCAGATCAAACAGCTGTGAAGAAGCTCTACGACATTGACGTGGCCAAGGTCAACACCTTGATCAGGCCTGATGGAGAGAAGAAGGCATATGTTCGACTGGCTCCTGACTATGATGCTTCGGATGTTGCCAACAAAATTGGGAGTCATCTAAACTGAGTCCAGCTGGCTAAATCTAAATATAAATTTTTTCACCAAAAAAAACCCCCCAAAAAACATTAAGTGATGGCATGACTATTTTTTCAAAGATGGATAAGGTTAAAACAGTTGGGAGCCACCGTCCTAAAATCTCCTAGTCTTCTTTCCCTCTGTTGTCTGCTGAGGCGAGGCTGCCTACTTGCTTGTCATCATGTCTTGGCCCCACTGCCCCTAGGGTCCTCCGTTCTGCTAGGATGTCATTGCTTGTAGGCCATTTCGGGAGGCAGAACTAGGAGATGTGTTTTAAGGGAAAAATCCATTAAGTTCATACTCCTAGTTCTCATCCAGCAGCACGACGTTATTCCCTTGTCCCTTCCTTCCCTGTTCCATTGGTGACTATGTTGTCCTTCCTAGAGTTCGATTGTTTGCTTCTTTGTACGTTGGGTTTTAGGGAGTTTTTCATCGTTATCGATTTAGTTGTGTTTTTGGACTATGTGACTCTTTAACAGGATTCTAAAAATCAAAGTGTTACAAGCTGGTGTGCTCAGGAGTGTCACTTTCTTCATCGCCCTGTCACTGCTCGCACCACCCGAGTAGGCCATCAGCCTCATTTGTTTCTGACTTCTTCATGAGCTCCTTTTGCAGATACTTATGGGGTGTCAGTGCTTATAGACTGTTGGAGTGAACTTAACTAGGAAATACATTGTTTGAGAAAAAAATATGTGCAGGGTTTTTTTTTTTTTGTAGAAAAGAATGCAGGCAAGATGTATCTATTTGTACATCTGTCTTTCTTTTCCCCTTATGCAAGGGTAGGGTCCCACAGTCTTTTGCACTTTGTTTTACTTAATGTCAGAATTCTGGAAATCACTCTGTACGAGTTTGCAGAGAGCTTTCTCATTCATTTGTACAGCTGCGTGCTGCTCCATCAAATGGATGCACCAGATGGAGTCACTAGTCTCTGAATGTGGACGTGTCGCTTATGTCCAACGTTTTGTGTTTACGAAGAATGCTGTAGTGACTGAACTTCATGCTTCTGTGCTGGAGGTGCATTTGTAGTGGGACTAGTGGATCCAGCATGTGTAGGAGCACGGCAGTTCTGTGGGGTCATGCCAGACCCCCGTGTGGCATCGGACAGCTCCCACAGCAGGGCTGAGCCACATGCTTCCCCATGGCCTCACCAGCAGTATGTTGTCTGGCTTCTGAATTGTTCCATCTGGGAGATGAGAAATGGCATTTCAGCTTAGTTGTAATTGCAATTCTTTTATTAGGAGAGACGATTTACAAGTTAATGTCCTTGAAAAATTCAGCTTCAAGTCTTCTTGGAGTTCTACTTTGTTTTACTGATTTTTGTAATAGGAAATGTCATTTCATAAGTAAGGGCTGGGAGTGAGTGATTGAGTCAGACATTTAGCTCGTTACTTGTGAGCATCCTTGTAGAGATAGTGTTTTGATGGATCACGAGGGCCAAGTCTAGGCCCTGGTTTTTGCATTTGGAGTCATGGACTGGTCCTTACTTTTATTTATTTTTTTTAAAAGATTTTATTTATTTATTTGACGGAGAGCCCAAGAAGGGGGAGCGGCAGGCAGGGGAGAAGCAGGCTCCTCACTGAGCAGGGAGCCCGATGCGGGGCTCCATCCCAGGACCCTGAGATTGTGACCTGAGCCAAAGGCAGACGCTTCACTGACTGAGCCGCCCAGGCGCCCGGTCCTTATTTTTAGCAGGCTGGACTGTCTCTGACAGCCCCGTGTTTGCCACTGGGTGTTTGCTCACAGCCTGCTCTTTGGCTCGTGCTCTGTGTGTGCTGGACTCGGGTGGTGTCATGGATGTGCAGAAACGCTTCCCACGGTAACAGCAGTGCTCCCTGTGTGATGACCAGTGCCCGGGTCCTGGCGTTCGCCTGGGGGGTGCACTGTGACCATGGTGACAGGATTGCAGAACTACCTGAAGCAGGGGAGACGGCCCCTGGCTGGATCTGGGAAATGTGGGGGCAGAGAGGGAGGTGGGCTTGGGAAGGGAGCCAGGCTCACGGTTGCTTGTTGAAGGGGAAGAAGAGGGTTCCTGATCGCCAGCGGCCTGGACTCTGGCTGCTCGCAGACGGGGAGCTGGGAATGGAGGGTGGGCAGCAGGAGCAATTCCAGGCTTCAGCAGGGGGCCCAGGAGCAGCTGCCGGAAGTAGCCAGTCTCTCGAGCCCTCTCGTGGGTTCTGGCCTGGGGACCCCTGCCCTACACTGCCCGCAGAGTGCACGTAGTGTTCCTAAGAGTGGCATTTTCCTGGTGTCTAGATGGGCGTCTTTATGATGTCATTGTCGTCCTGACAGTGCAGCAGGGGGAGGCGGTGAGTGCGGCATGTGGTGACCTGAGGGCTTGCGCCCCGCTCCTTGCCAGGCCGCGGGCCTGCTGTCACCTCGTGCCGCTGACGTGGGCCTCAGCCTGCACAGTACCCGTGTGGGGCGGTGAGCTGAACGGTTAGCTCCCAGCTCTTTCAGACGGACCTCGAAAGTGGAAACAGCTACTACAGAGAAAAAGTTGTTTCGCTGTTGGTGGTAGCTTTGCTCCCCATCGGGGTGACTGTGGCACATTTTTGGGGAAGGCTGCTTCAGATGAGCAGTTTCTTTATATCGTCGTCCATTGGACTTGTTTCTCTAACTTGACTATAAGCTCAAGGAAGTCGGGAAGTTGAAGTATAATTTACATGTAGCTGAGTTCATGCTTTAGTGTGTGGCTCTGTGACGTTGGGCAAAGACGTGCGTAACCATCCTCACGAATCAAGTGGAGAAACGGGTCCACACCCCCAGACTCCCTCCTGCTTCTCTCGAGCCAGCCCCTCCCCACCTTTAGCCCTCAGGGTCTGTCTAATCTCTGTCCCTGTGGTTTTACCTGTTGCAGAAGATCCTGTCATGTCCGTGACCTGCGCTGCGTGACCCCTGGGTCTGGCTCTGCCCCTGGCATCTCGCGACTCGTGGTGTGGGTCTGTCAGTACTTTGGTCCTCGTAGCACCGAGGCGCGCTCTGCGTGAGGCTGCACCAGTGTTGTGTCCCTTCGCCAGGTGCAGGTCAGTATTCATGGTTTGATACATTTCGTGGATAGCTCTTTCATTCTGTCTGTAACAGAGTAGAGCTTATATCACGTAATTTGTATCCTGCTTTTTCACCTAATACGTCTGTGCGTTTCTCGTTTTTCTTAGAGTCTTTGTCTGGAACTTGGACACTGGGATATTTCTGGTTACTTTTACTGTATTCTGCAGTGCACATTCTTATGCACAATTTAAAAAAATAGGTAGGTGAATTTCCTCAGGAGAGATTTCCAGAGAGGCTAGGACTAGGTCAAAGGTCATGGGGCGAGATGGGGTCGCTTCTGCTTTCCCAGCCCTGTTGCCCACCCCGTCAGGCATGTTCTGGGCTCTGAGCCCTTTGAGATCTCTGCTCCGTGTCCCCGTCTGCCTCCCACACCCCCTTAGCGGGATTGGCAGGATGCCAGCTGTGTGATGTAGCATCTTGGCCAAGTGGATCTGGGAGATACTTATTTCAGTCTGTATTGCTTTTATTAGTGCTGAGGTTGGACGTTTTCCTTCAAGCTGGTTAAGTAGATGCTTTTTTTTCTTTTTGTAAACTGTCTGTCGTCCTTATTTCACTTTTCTGTGGGATTGCAGTGATTTTCAGTTTGTATGAGTGCTTTCTATAGTATTAGTGGTAGCTCCCCATCATAACTACCCCAAATATTCATGATTTTGATGATTTACTTTTGAGTTTTAAACATTTTTAAATTTTGTGTGTCTTCAAATCCATCTGTCTTTTCAGATACAACTTTACTGTTTTAAGTTTAGGAACTTGAATTCCCTTCAGAGCTTTAGTAAGTATTCGTTTTTGTATTCTCTATGTATTTCTGTTTTCACATTTCTATAATTGGTATAAAACTTGGGATGTTACCTTATAAGATGTTTCATTTATTTTGGTGAATGATTTGTGGTGAGGATTTAAATAGGATTTTCAGTCTGTGTCAGTGGTCGTGCAGTGGTCGTACCTTCCCCCCTGGTTTTGTGAATTGTTAGATGTGGGAGAGCTGGTTTCTGGCCTTTGTTCTCTCTCCTTGCTCACCTTTGATGTTCTGGGAATGTATTCTAAGGAATAATCCTAAATATGCCCTCATGTGTGTGTTTGTCATGTGCGCTTGTTTACAAGGATCAGGAGCAGAAGCTCGTTCTGAAGGCAGCAGGCGTGCTGAGGCCCCCGGCCCTGAGCCACTGTGCTGCTTGGGGGCGAGGGTGGGAGAGCGCCGGTGGGCTGCCCACGACGGCCGTTCCTCCCCTGACTTCCTGCTAGACGTATGTGCTGCAGCTTGCCCACGATCTTGGGACTCTATCTTCAGAGATAGCCTTCAGATCAGAAAACACCTTTTCTGCTGCGTAAATAGGCACTGATTTTTGTGTTTTCCCAGCCTTTACTGGTGTACCCCTAGTACCCCTCCATTCTGTAGCTTCTGATTCCACGTATCCATCTGTCTCAGCCAGGCACCTGGGACTGGTTCCATGTGTATATGTATTTTTGCACTGTAACTTTTGTAACTTCTGGTTTCTGATGTTTTTATCCTTGTTTTCTGTGAGATAGCTTGTGATGCCCTGAGGATGACAGGGCCGGCCATCTTGCTTGTTTTGGGGGCAGGGTGGAAGGAACACCAAGACATGGGGAGTGAGGTGTGTCAGTTAAGACTTGAGACTTTCCAATGGTGGAAGGATATTTCTGTCCCTGTGACCCTGCCTCAGTGGGGAGTAGACAGCCCCCGGGGCCTGCGGGGGACATGTCCCTCGCAGACACTGAGACTAGCTGGGTCTGACTTGGGGAACGTTCTGGGGCCTCACCTCAGAACTGGCCTCCTCCTGCTTAGCCCTATCCTGAGAGCTGACCCCCAGCATGTCTTCCACTCCCCCAGCACCTCCCTAGTCCTCTGCACAAAGCAGTGTTTGGGCTGGGAGGCTCTTTGAAGCTATGGTACCAGCTCCAGAGAGTTTGCAGACCTCTGAAGGAGACTCTTCCAGAGCATGGGCCCGAGTCCTGGCCATTCTCCTTCTCTGTCTGAGGTTCAAGACGCCTTCCTGTTTTGTCCTGGCTCTTGCTACAGGTCTAAGGCGAGGCTTTGGCACCTAGGCCCGGGCTGTCTCCCTCAGGAGCTTAGGGTCTGACACGTAACGGTTGGCTCTGTGTGTTTGCAGTTGATGTAGCCCAGAGGTTGGTGGGGTGTTCTGTTCTGGTGATGGGGTGATGGCAGCATACAGCCTGTGCCTGCATTTGGCAGCAGTCAGTGACTGCCTCCTGGGTGCCTGGCGGTGCGTAGGGTGCTGTCTCTCCCCCAGGACAGACAGGTAGACAGCCCCTCTGCATGTGGGAATGGAGCGGGGCCACTAGGCCAGGAGAAGGCTTCTGGGAAGAAATGTACTGGTCACAAGTGCCAGTGCTGGGTTCAGATCCTGCTTGGCCTTGAGCTAGCGATGTTGGTTACCTTCCACGGTAGCCGGCTGGGATGACCCACCTCCGGGTCCCAGCAGTGACCCAGAAGGACCTGTTGCTCATGTGTGTTGAGGGGCATCGTGTCCAGTGCCATCTCTTTCGTGGCTCGATAAGAATTCCTGACTCATTTGCATCAGATGCCAGTTGGAACGTACCCTCAGACTGTCTCTCCAGTGTTGCTAAATGGTACTCGTAGTAAGTGCTGATCAGATGCTTACATTTTTCTTCAAGTAACTTGATTTTAACTTTGATTTTTCAGGAGAACATTAAGTTGGATTAAAAAGGGGGGCGATAATGCACCATGGCAGCGGCCCTCAGAGTGTCCAGCACCAGCTGCAGAGGTCCAGGGCCTTCGCCAGCAGCGAAGGAGAAGAGCAGGCCCACCCAAATCCACCCCAGTCTCCTGCCACGCCCTTCGCGCCATCAGCCAGCCCATCCGCACCTCAGTCTCCTGGTTACCAAGTTCAGCAGCTGATGAATAGGAGTCCCGTGACCGGGCAGAACGTGAACATCGCCCTTCAGAGCGTTGGACCAGTGGTGGGAGGAAGCCCGCAGATCACGCTCGCCCCTCTGCCGCTCCCCAGCCCCACTTCTCCAGGTTTCCAGTTCAGTGCCCAGCAGAGGCGCTTTGAGCATGGATCTCCGTCGTACATCCAGGTCACCTCGCCTCTATCCCAACAGGTGCAGACTCAGAGCCCCACCCAGCCCAGTCCCGGGCCGGGGCCGGGCCTGCAGAGCGTGCGGGCGGGCACCCCTGGCCCTGGCCTGGGCCTTTGCAGCAGCAGTCCCACCGGAGGCTTCGTGGATGCCAGCGTGTTAGTGAGGCAGATGAGCTTGAGCCCGTCTAGTGGCGGGCACTTTGTGTTTCAGGAGAGCTCGGGCCTTGCTCAGATGGCTCCGGGCACCCAGGTGCAGTTGCAGCACGCAGGGGCTCCCATCGCGGTCCGAGAACGGAGACTGTCACAGCCCCACGCACAGTCTGGGGGCACTGTCCACCATCTGGGACCCCAGAGCCCCGCGGCTGCGGGTGCGGCCAGCCTGCAGCCCCTGGCCAGTCCCGGCCACATCACCACGGCAAGCTTGCCACCCCAGATCAGCAGCATCATCCAGGGGCAGCTGATCCAGCAGCAGCAGGTGCTGCAGGGGCCGCCGCTGACCAGACCCCTGCTCCCTGGGGTCGGGGTCGGGGTCGGGGGGGCTTCAGCCTTTGGGATGACCTCCCCACCGCCCCCTACCAGCCCCTCCAGGACTGCGGTGCCCCCGGGCCTCTCCAGTCTTCCTCTCACGTCTGCGGGGAGTGCAGGGGTGAGGAAGGCCCCCAAGAAGTTGGAGGAGATCCCCCCGGCCTCTCAGGAGCTGGCCCAGATGAGGAAGCAGTGCCTGGACTACCATTATAGAGAGATGGAGGCGCTGAAGGAGGCCTTCAAGGAATACTTGATTGAGTTGTTCTTCTTGCAACACCTTCAAGGGAACATGATGGATTTCTTGGCCTTCAAGAAGAAGCATTATGCCCCGCTGCAAGCTTACCTCAGGCAGAATGATTTGGACCTGGAGGAGGAGGAGGAGGAGGAGGAGGAGGAGGAGGAAGAGGAGCAGGCTGAGGTCATCAATGACGAGGTGAGCGACCGCAGTTTAGTAATCAGAGCACCGTGCTTCGCAGATTGGAGCCTAGGCACCTGTAGATAGAACATAACCCAACCTGTGAGCCTGGGGTGCTTCTAGGACATGGTTTCATAAGGGTTTGATCCAGGAGTAAAACTGAAGATGTGTTTTGGTCTCTTCCTGCGTGGAGGGGAGGGGCGGCTCTGGGTGTCGGGACGAGGGTGCAGGACAGCCCCGTAGCAGCGCTGGCCCAGGACCGAGCACTTTGACCCAGAGCAAGGTCTTCCAGTTTCTGGAGGCTGGCCTGGCATGACCCAGCCTTCCCTGTAGTCAGCTGGGGCTGTGGGTCTTGTCCATCACTGAGGCTGGAGGTGTGGACACCTTCCGGCTACTTGTGTAGATTTCGCATTTTACTTACGCTGGTCCACCATTAAAAACACCACGAATGTGATTTTTAAACAGGGATTGGAATCACTAGCTTTTTAGAGTGTATCAGTCATGATTCTACATCACTAGGTATGTCTGTATGGTGTCTTCATGATGAAAATACAGTTATTATGGCAAAAACTGGGAGAATTTTTCAATTTTTAGATGTACTCTCCAATTTGAGGTATTTTAAACTCACACGTGTGCAAATACCTACTGAGTGATATTTAACATAGAATCTTTTTTAGATAGTGAAATTTTGGGGTGCCTGGAACGGGTGCTTCATACATCCCGCATTTGAGATTTTTCAGTACTGTAGTGATTCCTAAGATCCTTGTACTTGTGTTTCCTGAAAAAGGAGCCACTCAGCCAGGGCAGTAGTGAGGGACACCGTAGCGCACTGTATTTTGTGCCTTTGTGTCGTGTAGTCTGCAGTGTGTTGGTGGAGCTTACTTTGTTTTACGGTACAGCTAAAGCAATCTGACTCTGCGTCAGCTCTTCTCCTGCAAAGAAATCAGCCTTTGCTGAGCAAAAGCTGGTCTCTTTGCTCTGCTGTCCTCATTGAGATTTATGGACATATCTGTGTGGCTTTGCCATTTTGTGTTTTCTTTAACACCCTCTCCAGAAAGGATCATTTTTATTTTCCCAAAAAGTTTATGTGATTATCTTGAGGATTACACCTCTGTTGCCATGAAATAGTGAAATTCAGTTCTCTGTTTGTACAGTTTTGTCTGTAGGCTCAGTCCTCCTCATCTGTGCTAATGAGGAGACCTGACTCCCCTTTTTTGCACCTTCCTGCTGAGATAGACCCACACACGGCGGGCAGTACGGTGGCTGCCGTGCAGATGGCCTGTGAGGGCGTGAGGGCTTTGCTGCTCAGAGACTGCCTGCCGTTCCTTTGTTTATAGTTGGAAGTTGCAGAATCTGAGCTCACGTTGGAGTTCCTGCAGGATGCGCACTGGAGTTTGGTCGTTAGGTTGTAAATCCACCATAAGTCAGTTTAGTGTCCTTTTACAGGATTTCATGCAAAAAAAGCATTCCATTTTTAACCACCAGACGTCACTGAGCTATCAGCATTAAAATTCTGACAAAATTTCGAGCAGTCTTAAAAATTATGTTGCCTTTTTTTCTCAAAATATTTCCTCTCAGGTAAAGGTTGTGACAGGAAAGGATGGGCAGACTGGTACTCCTGTTGCTATAGCAACCCAGCTTCCGCCAAATGTTTCTGCTGCTTTTTCATCCCAGCAGCAACCGCTTCAGGTACTTTTCGATGGTTCTCAAATGTAGCCTCATCCCAAACTTTCCTTCATCCAGATATTTTAACCTTCAATTTTACTATTTGCTCTCCAGCATTTTTTTCCAGAGCCCATTCCTTATTTTTAAAAAATTAAAAAGTCTTCCTGCATATAAGATGATAAAATTAAGTTGCATGAGTAAATGACAACACGGATTTTAATGCATTCTTATTTTTTGTGTTGAGTGTGACGCAGTAGTAGCCTTCGCATGCCTGTCACCTAATACTTACAGTCCTGTTGAATGTGTACTCAGGATTCCTTGTGTGCTGTGTTTTAAATGTTGGTTCTTTCCTGTGTCTTCTATCTGTATTTTTAAGAACAGTGCAAAACAGAACAAGAAGAAAAAAAGATTTAAGCAGGTGGTAACTTGGTATTTTCCGCAGCTGGAAGAAACGCTGAAGTCAGGACCTTAGGTCCCACCCGGGTGTCCACTGAGTGCACACTGAGTAGCGTTAATTGTTTGGAAATGAAATCATTCAGTGTTAGATCAGTGATGCCAAGAACCTGAAAGGACAGATCAGATTCTCCCAAGAGGGAATGGATGGTTCTTGCTTTGGAGAGTAGTTTCATCTCGTGGTGATACATTTTTTTTTAACTTTTTTATTTTTAATTTTGCTATAATTTCAAACATATGTGAAAGTTGCAAAAAGAGTTTTCCAAGGAGCCCCCTTTGTGCCCTTTACCCGGGTTCACCAGATGTGCACTTTTTGCCCCCCTGTATTGTGTTCACTCTGCTGTATGTGTATACACACACGTCTCCCCCAAACTGGGCGACAGGCCGTTGCAGATACCGCGTCACGCACTTTTATCCCTGATGCTCCGCGTGCCTCAGGTGAGAGTGTTCTCTTACCTGATGCAGTACAAGTCACGTCAGGACCACGACTAAGCCAAAGCTCATATGGGGTTTTTGTGTCTTGACCTGATGGTGTCCTTTATAGAGTTGACCCTTACAGAGTGCAGGGGCACTGTCCCCACACAGTGGAAACGCCATGTACAACTTTTGACTCCCCAAAAACTTAACTCCTGTTAGCCTGCTGTTGACTGGAAGCCTTACCGATAACCTAGTCGATTAGCACATATGTTGTCTGTTAATATGTTTTATATACTGTATTCTTCCAGTAAAGTAAGCTGGAGAGAAATCATAAGGAAGAAGAGAAAATACATTTACTGTTCCGTATGGAAAAAAATCTGCGTGTAAGTGGACCTACGCAGTTCAAACCGGGATTGCCTGCTGTACATAGTTGCCATGCCTCCTCAGTCTTTTTAATCTGGGCCGGCTCCTCAGTCTTTCATGACCTTCACGGTTTTGAGTTTAGGCTAGTTATTTGATAGAATGTCCTTTGATACTGGATTGTCTGATGTTTCCTTGTGTCTGACTTGGGCCATGTATCTTTGAGAGGAATACCACAGAAGTGACGCTGTGCACGGCTCGTGCTGCCGTATTAAGGGGCCATGAGGTCACTGTCCTGTGACTGGTGATGCTCACTTTGACCACTTGGTGAGGCTGGTGTCCATCAGGCTTTTGCCGTGGAAGGTTCTTAGTTTTTCTTTGGTAAATGATAAATAATTTGGGGAAGATACTTTGAGACTCTGTAAATACCCTGTATCTCATTAAACTTTCAGCCTCTAATTCCACCATCTGGCCAGAATCTGTTTTCACCTTAAAGATTGCAAAATGGATTTTCTAGCTCTGTTGTCCCTAATGCATTGATTGGCTGGCATCTTGCTGTTATCAGTGCGCTTTCTTTTTCCTCCACTTACATATTCATATATGGATTTTTATTTCAATCAGTGGGTTATGTCACTAATAGTATTTATTTAGACTTAATTCAGTAAAACTCACTCTTTTTTGTCTGTAGTTCTGTTGAGTTTTTCCAACCCAACAGAGTTGTGTAGCCACCACTGTGGTCCAGAAACCACTTTGTCCCCCTCCCGGAACCTTCGCTCTTTGCCTCTGTGAGTTTGCCTTTTCCAGAATGTAAGAAGTCTAGATGGAGTCATACCACATGTGGCTTCTGTCGCGGAGCAGCCACGCTGTGCCGTTTGCCAAGCGGTGTTCGGTGGCATGGGTGTGCCTGGTTGGTCTCCACTCACCTGTTGAAGGTCGGGTATTGTTTACTTAGGAGTAAAGCTGTGTCAGTGTCCCGGAGAGGTTTGTGTGTGTGAACCTAGGCCTTTGTTTCACTTCAGTACATACCTCGGCAGCAGATTGCTGGCTGGTGTCATAGGTGTAGGTTCGAGTTTACAAGAAACCTCCAAACCCACCCTGGCTGTGCCCTGCTGCGCTCTGCTGCCCCCAGTGGAGGGGAGGCCCCGGTGCGTCTTCCCTGCTCATCTCCAGTCTGTGACCAGCTTGCAGTGGTTGCTGTTTGTGTATCTTCTTTGGGAAAGCCTGAATCCTGCGTGTCACTGTTAGATTTGAGAACCCTTTGTGTGATGTGAATGCAAGTTCCTTGTCACATACAGATTTGCAGATGTTTTTCTCCCATTCTAAAGCTCGTCTTTCTCTCTTTTTGTGTTTTGATGCAGTCTGTTTTATCATTTTTTTGGTTTTATAGATTGTGCTTTTGGCATCCTGTCTAAGAACTCTTGGCTCACCCTGAGGTCACAGAAACCTGTATTTTCTCCTGAAACTTGTATGGTTCTGTGTTTCACACGTACGTCCACGATCCCCTTTGAGTCAGGTTCTGTATTACTTGGCAGACATACGTGGAGGTTTGCTTTTCTGCATGTTGATTTCCAGTTGTTCCAGGACCATTTCTTAAAAAGACCGTTCTGTTTCCATATATTGATCTTGCATCTTTGCTGAAAATGAGCTGATTCCTGTCTCTGTGGGTCTCTTTCTAGACTCTCCGGAATTCCCTTCATCTGTTTGTCTTGCTAATGCCACACGGTCTGGGCCAATGTAGCTTTGTAGTAAGTCTTGAAATCAGTGTGAGTTCAACCTTTTTCTTTTCTTTTTCTTTTTAATTGTTTTGATCATTCTAGTTCCTTTCCATTTTCATAGAGATTTTAGAATCTGCTCTGTTGATATCTGCGGAATTTTGATTTGGATTGCATTGAATCTGTTGACCACTTTTGGGGAGGAGTGATATCTTGACAATATTGAATCTTCCAGTCCGGGAATATGGCACATCTCTCCCTTTATTTTGGTTGTCTTTGCTTTGTTTCCTCAGTGTTTTGTAGTTTTCAGTATGCCAATTCTGTACATATTTTGTTAGATTTATACTCAGGTATTTTCCAGTTTTTCTGTGGTGTTGTAAGTGGTAGTTAAATAAAAAAAAATTGAGATGT